AGACTGGGCTATTCTTTGTCTTCCAGCTCTCTCCCTAGTGGGTCACCATTGGTGAATTGCATCCTTGTATCAAAGGTCACACAGCTCCCACTGTGTGGCTTTCTTTAGGTTCGGGTGATTGGTTCTTCCTTCTCTCCCGTATATTTATTTATTCTCTATTTACGTTAGCATGGACTCAAGCATTTTAGTTTTTTTCTATGGTTTATAATCTGCTACTATCACATATTTTCAAGTAAATTGTCAGTGTTGACTATAGAGGGCACTTCAAGTTGGCTCTAATGTCCTCTTGACATGTCCCTTCATTCCTTGACCAATTCTTTCATTTGAGGTTCAACACAATATTCTAGGCTCCTCTCATACTTTTACTGCCCCAGCACTAGAATCAGTCATTTCTTCCTAGAGCTCTGGTTCCTCTTTGTGGCTTAAGGTATGTTCATTTCGGTTGTGATGCTGCTTCTGGGACCTCTCAGCAAACAGACCAAGGGAAGGTCTACCAATTTATCTTGGTAGCTGCATATCTCATCTAACACTGAAGGATTCCTTCTAATATTCTCCTTTCCATATGTTCAATTCCCTTCCTGAAGCATCAGACATCTCGTTGTCATTATTCTTAGAATATATTTGTTTGTTTGTCCAATCTCAGAATATATGCAAATTAGTTTCAGAACTGCTAACTCCTATTACTGAGAAAAGGAAACTCCCTCAGGTTTAGGAAATGATAGTAGGTCTTTGCTGTCACTAGCCCTGGGATATCACACCATTTTTTACTGGTTTTCCCTAAAACTCTGTGACACCTTTGCTAACCGTCTTTTTATTAGATACTCTTCAAGTATCCAGTTTGACTTTGCCATCTGCATTCTACTGGGACAATAACAGATAGAATGTGCTAGAGAGTGGTTGCTTACAAAGGGGATTAGAATATGTAGCAAGAATCAATCTTCTCTGGCTTTTGTCTGTCTGTAAGTAATGAGCACTTTGTGTCAGCACCAATGGATTGATCCAGTCCTTAAATTAATCAGTAACCCAACTAGAGTGAGCCAGACGAGAAGAACCTTATATTACGAAGATGTATGTTGACAGAGATCTAAGGAAAGGCGTCCACCATTCATACTTTCCAATAAAATAAATACATAACTTGTTAGACCAGCTGATAATTCCCACTATGATTAATAACATTCTGTTATTGTTCCTTCTCCATCTGTATCTGATCTGGGAACTACCTGAAAATTCCTCCAATAGCTACTTCTCCATTGGCAAGACACAAGAAGGAACAGAGAACATTTCTTCAAAAAGCCATGTCATGATGTGGCATAAAGAAATTTGGGGCTGGAAAACCTAAAATTTCTCTAGTAACAACTTGAATGTGTCTTAATTGTCTTGAATGTTTACAGACATTTCTGGACAGAAGAGAATCAGAGCTCAGATCCTAAGACTGAGAAAAAATAGCTAGTTGAGTAATCAAAGTTTTTATTAACTATGTGATAGGATTTTTCATATATTACATTTTGCATTATGTAAAAATCATACCATGATCATGGTACTGGGAAGCATGGAATTCCTGGACACTACAGCTAAGAATTTCAAAAAGTACAAACATTCTTAAGGGAAATGTGGCTATTTATACTACATTTGTGTAAGTTGCTTATACTATTTGGTTCAGAAACAGATTCTTCTCATTAATTCTAAAGAAATGATAAGAAATGACCAAAGTATTTGGTTCAGAAACAGATTCTTCTCATTAATTCTAAAGAAATGATAAGAAATGACCAAAGGGATTTGTGTTAAATCATTTTTATTACAACATTACTTTTAATAATTAAATCTTGAAAACTTGTGAAAATCTTGATTACTATCAACATGGATAGATTTACTAAATCTACTTCGGTGAAGATTTTATAGTGATACTTGGTTTCAATAAATAATGACAAACAGTTGCAACATATTAAAGGAAAAGGGTAGGACATGAAATGGTAACTTCCAACTATTAACTCAGATTAAGAATATTAAGAATTATAGACACAATTCATTAGAGTTTGAAAAGTATTGTTATAAATATAAATGAAAACAAATTGGTCAGTTTGGGAAGACATTCGTGAACCAAATTATAATTCTGAAAAAACAAGTAATTGATGGGAAAAAATAAAAATTGTCTACTTTTTTCTATTAAAAAATATACCAGTGGATAACCAAGTAGAAGTTTAGGGGAAGTTTTTATTCATACAAGCATTCCAAGTAATACAGGAAGAAAAATAGTAGAACTGGATTATTGCTATTTTTGTCACTGAATTCATGGATGTAAGCATTATTTCTCAGTGGCTGGTAACATCACAAAAACAGACATAACTAGATGTTGTATATGCTTTGATGGAGGAGTATAGTACTATCTATGAATATAAAATATTTTTCCTTCTCGAAACATCAAAATTGAGTCAGGGCAAACCTCTAGACCTGTTAGCTTAGAGGAAGCACAGATGAAGAGGAACATATCCAATAACACCTTCATGATACAATCACTTGACAATCTCTACAATAAATTTTTTTTAAAAAGTTGCAAGAGAATGAAAAGTTTGGAGAGGAGCACCTGTAGATTCAAAGAGATATGAGAACTCTATTAACCAATTGAGTAATGCTATTTTTGTTATTTAGATTCTTATTCAAATTACTACAGAAATTAGGACATGAGTCAATAGGACAAATTAACTGGATATTTGATGAAATAAAGGGATTATTTTAATTTTAGTTGAGTAGTGGTCTGGAGAATATGTTAAAAGAGTTCTTATCTTTTACTAAGATAAAAACAAAATGTCATGATATCTGGAATTTGTTTCAAAATCATTTCATAGAAAAATAAATAGAGGTATAAAAGAAATAAAACTGGCCAGGACTTAATTGTTATAAAACTAGGTGATGGGTGCATGGATGTTCATTAGACCAGAAGATCTAATTTTGCATGTAATTGAAATTTTCTTTAAGATATAAAAATAAGTAAAGAAATGCACAATGCAAATGTAGTGTGGCGTACTAATTCAGTAGAGGTAGTAAAAGAAGGAAAAATGCCTTATGATTTTCTGAAAATGAACAAAAATTTTTTTGTTACCTGCATGTTTAAAAAATTGTCTTCCCTTTTTGCCTGTCTCTGGACTTTCCAGCAGCTAAAATTGCATTTGCATTTGCTTTCTTGCCATTCCTCTCTCAGAAGTCAAGGCAAACCAAGAAACTCAGAAAAATTAGCACCGTGTTTGTCATGATCAATTTCAATATCAAGAAGTCTGCTACCTTGTACCAGATTTTCTAACTGGGTAGTGTTGATATACAGAGAGGCCATCAATGTTATGATATTAGAATTTTAGCCAACATATTGAACTTTCATACAGTTTTTCTTTTCTAAGAAGTTTTCAACTGATTCTCTTGAATTTCTAAGATACATATCAGTAGCATTTGTGGTAATGAACATTTTTCCCCTTTTCAATATTTATATTTTTCATTTTTTACATTTATCTGCTTGAAATGGTGATCAATGTGAAATATTAGTGAAGACAATAGTCATTCTTGTTTGTTCTTCTGAACTCGTTTTTAGAATGAGAGCCTACATAATTTATTATTTTAAAAAGTAGTTAATAGTATAAAAATAATACTTAATATATTAATTTTCATAATCACTTTAGGACATATACTTAAGAATGATAACTTTCATGAAATTATTTTTTCTGAAAAATATTGTAAATTGCCTCAAGCACACTATAAAATATATGTACACCATAAAAATCATTATCAGTAGCAAAATAAAAACAAAGACCCAAGTAACAACCAACCAATTAAGAAATAGAATATATTCTTTAAAACCCACTCAAATGTCTTTTCATTACCTATATGGTGCATTTTCTGTTTTGCGTTGTTTTCTGATTATAGATTTTTTTATGCTCATTAAAAGTAATTTTTAGGGACGCCTGGGTGGCTTGGTTAAGCGTCTGACTCTTGATTTCAGCTCAGGTTATGATATCACACTTTGTGAGTTTGAGCCCCGTGTCAGGCCCTTTGCTGACAACGTGGAACCTGCTTGGGATTCTGTCTCTCTCTGCCCCTTCCCTGCCTCTCAAAATAAGTAAACTTAAAAAAATTTTTTTTGAATACTTAAAAGTGTAAAGAATATAATGAACAACGTGTAATTTACCATCTAGCAATCAGTACCCTTAACTTTAGTGTGCTTCCAATGTTTAACATATGTGCATATGTTTATGTGTTTACAAGATATAATCATACTATTTTAACTTGGAATTTTAAAAGTTTATGATTGTTTTGCTATTATAAGTATCATTTTTAAATGTTGAATCTGTGAGTATCTCTGATTATTTCCTTATGAAAGTTTGTGATGGTGAAAATAGTGCATTGATGGGTACAAACTTCTTACATATAGCAACAATATATTTTGCCATTCATTGTATGCTAATTTCTTACATACAATAGCACCCATGCACTTTTTAAGTGTTTATAAGTCATGTAGTCATGTAGTTAACGATTTTTAAAATAATCATTTGACACATTCATATGAATTCCTTGGGGCTTTAGACAAATTATTCTATTTTTCTTCCTTTTCTTTTGAGTTTATTGTCATCTGTGTTTTTACTCAACATTTTTAATTCTCAGTTAATAAGTGTTATCATTTTCTTCTTAAAGATCAGGCAGTGCAAACCAAACTGCAAAATCGAACTCTGCATGTGTAATGGTGCATTCTTGATGCTCTGTTGGTGGTGATGCTGGGTTTTTTAGGTCAGACTTTACAAAGTCAAGTGAAATTTTACAGGAGAAATCAAGCCAGGTGCACTGTACTTCCACAGTATTTGTACCAAACATCATACTTGTCTATGTTACAATTCCATCCCACCACTATTTTCTTAAGTCTGACATGTTGAGAATCACAGAACAAAGTTAGAATGACATATTTATTAAATGTCTGGCTGCTCTAGCTAATGGGGCTTAGAGTCTCCTGCTTTTCTGGTTTCAGCTGCCAGTTCCCAAGCGAGTGATACTGCTGATAAAGTGTGGCTTTGACAGGGAAGAAGGTAAGGGGGCAATATGATTTGGGGAAATATAGAGGTTTAATGCAGAGACTTTTCAGAACTGAAAAAGAAATGCCTTCAGGGCCTCTCTTAAGCCCCACTTAAGTTGATTCCAGGATATCATCACCACTTTCCTCATCAATATGACCATAAGAGGTCAAGAAAAACCAGCCCAAACAGCAACACAGAACAAACTTTCAAAGAGTTGGAAAATAAGCTTTAGCTCTCAGTTTGGGTACAGGTATGGGTAAATTTATTGAGAGGTTCTTTTGACCTCAAATTTTAATTATTGTACTATTTTTTTTTCTTGCCTGCCTTCTAGGCACTCTTTGGTTAAGAAATGCAGAGTACATTGAATCCTTGACAGGGGAAAAGAGGTTTAGGAAAACTTAATTTAACCTTCTTAGCTCAGCCCATATCTGGAGATTCTCTATGCACAGATCTTACTTCCACATCAACATGTGCTGCTCTGGCCCATTAGACCTCAGCAAGATACACCAACCTGGGTCAGTCAGTCTTCACATACACCTGAACTCAAATCTCCAGTGTTTGGTTCAATTTTCTGTGCCTTTTCCATGACTGCATTGCATAAGCTTTATTCCTTTTCTGTTGTCTCTGGTTTCCCCCACAAAATCAACTCTAAATTCACCTTTTAAACAATTATTCTCAACAGTTGTTCGGTTTAGCTTCACATGAACGTTAATGTTTGTATGCTTAAGTAATTAACAAGAAGAATTGCGAGCACAGCTCTTTGTGGCTCCCGTGTTGCCCTGGCAGTTTTTTTCTCCCTTGGTGCACATGCAGCCACACACCCTGTTTGGTCTGTGCAGGAGAATGTATACCACCCCACAATTTGTGGAGCTCAGACACCTCATGGGCAAGGACCCCAAGGCTTCTCTTTTTGATCAAGGTTAGCCTGCCATTTTTCCTCAATGCTTTTGTCTCTTCCCACCTCCCCACCATACATAATTTCATGTAAGAATTCAGATTTAGTAAAACAAAAGGCAGGAAGGGGTTTGCTTTCAATCACTTTGTTTTGTATTGCATTACAAGCCTTCTGTGAGTATATCTTGGAAATGGATATAAAAGGGAAAATGCAAAGAACCCTAAGAAGTGCTTATAAAAATGAGTAATCAAACCTCTTCCCTTTCTTGGCACATGATTTAATTCCATTTGTGTGTACCTTTACCTCAGTCATTTGGTTAATTTTACATAAGGATTTTGAAAAGGCCTCCACAACAGGACTCAGAAATAACTAGGGCTTCTTTTGATGACTTGACTTCAAGAACAATATACTCAACATATGCAGAATATCTTTTATTTTTAAAGATATGTTAGTGACACACTGGGATTTTTATATTCAACATACAGCAGTTAGACAGAAGTCGAATTGGACATGGCTGCACATATCTGAGTGTGTTTTGTAAAACCTCTTCCCTAGGAACTCTCAGCTGAGCTGCTGACATTTCAGCAACCTTTTTAAACACAGAGTTGCAATTTTAAAAGTATTTAAGTCCTGGGGCGCCTGGGTGGCTCAGTCGGTTGAGCGACTGACTTCGGCTCAGGTCTTACTCTCACGGTTTGTGAGTTCGAGCCCCACATCGGGCTCTGTGCTGACAGCTCAGAGCCTGAAACCTGCTTCTGATTCTGTGTCTCCCTCTCTTTCTGCCCCTCCCCCACTCATGCTCTGTCTCTCTCTGTCTCAGAAATAAATAAACATTAAAAAAAATTAAAAGTATTTAAGTCCTAGGGGCCCCTGGATGGCTCAGCCCGTTGAGCAGTTGAGCTTCCAACTCTTGATTTTGGATCAGGTCACAATCTCACAGTTCGTGAGTTAGAGCCCCACATCAGGCTCTGCGCTGACAGCATGGAGCCTGCTTGGGATTCTTTCTCTCCCTCTCTCTCTGCTCTGCCCCTGCTTGCTCTCTGTCTCAAATAAATAAACTTAAAAAAATATATTTAAATCCTAAATCTAATACTCTTTGCAAAATTCTATTTTTTCATTGATTTACCTAATAAATATCCACAATACAGTACAAAGGACTATAGTAGTAAGTGCAAAGTACAAAGGCAAGTACAAAGCGGTAAGTAAAACAACAGAGCCTGAGTTTTCTAGTCTTTCTGGAGGATCATTTTGGTTTCTTTTGGAGAATGAGAGAATGTAGTTATATTTGGAGCCAGTGAGATGTAATGGAAGGTACCAGAAGACCTAGCTTCATGTGATCAACTATACTTTATATACTTTATTGGATATTAATTACATGTAGGCATTATTTAAAATATGAAATTTCTGTATAAATACAAATTACTTATTCCTAAATCCTAAGGTATTTGGAAACCAGTTCCAGTCTCCATATAATCCAGTCTCCAGTCTTACTCCTAATACTATGTGAATTTCAGTTTTTAATCTGTATCTACCTATAGTTTAGCTCTGATCAAGTATATAAAATAAGTATGCATTATGTACATTTTTTAAACGAACAAGGTTTAAAACTTGAACAACCACACATAACCAATGCTATGGATGTTACCTTAACATAATGTATAGAGTTCCCTCCAAAAGGAGCGTGGACTACATGGAATATTGTTCCCCCTCCCCCTCTCCACTAGACAGCTAGTAAGGTAACAGCAACAAACTTTTCGTTGATGGTTTATTATAGGCTGAGTGCTTAGAAAATGCTTTCTTGCATTATCTTGTTTTTTTTTAAAGCCTGCATATGACACAAGTATCAAAATGTTTTTGTCTGAAATAGTGCTATTGGGGAATATGTTGGGATAGACCCAGGGCTCATGCATTTTCCCGTCTGTGCAAAACAACAGAGATTGGGGGAAGTGGTAGAAAACATCCTGAACAAATAATGTTAGTAAACAATGCCAAATTTAGAAGGGTATGATGGAAAGGCAAGCATGCCTGGAATATAGCAGAGACGGAACACTTTGCATTGAACAGCTTAATTTCTCTATATACTGATAAAAATGCATAATACCAAGAAAGAAATTGCTTCTAGAACTCTATGTATTAATTCATCAATTTAACAGATACTTATTAAGGCTTCCGCACCTTACACCTGCTTTAGGTTCTCTTGTGTATCTTTTGGATACAGAATTGAATGAAGAAAAAATATTACTTATATGGAAGACATTTTAATACAAGATTGGAATTAAATGATAATAATATTAGAACACTATGTAAATTTCAAATGTATAATATGAGGACATTTTCTCAGGAAAAAATAGAACACTTGGCAGGGTAACAGCCATGAAAAAAATTCTCTTTAATAAACACAGTGTACTTAATTTCCCATGATTTAACAGAGCTGTGTGATCAGTGTCCCTGGTGGCACAATATTCTATAATTTCTGAATATTTTTGTGACTTATTGTGATAAAGCTAAAATAAAAATATGTGCCGCTCCAAGCACATGTTAACTGATTTTTAAAAATTACTCCTGGTTCCTCCCATTGTTCTAAAATAGGACTTACATATTACATAAAACTTTAAAAGCTGATACATCCAGGTTGAACAAAGAATCATTGCCAAGAAAAAAGGAAACCCTTTTTACTTTCACAGAAAACAAATGTTAAGATTCTATACAGATGTATCCTTTACATTGGACATTGTATTAGAGCCCTCCTTGCAGGAAATGAAATAGTTTTAGCACTATTAGCATTAGCCTTACTAGATTGGTGTCTTAAAGTTTTAAAATGCATAACCTGAGGGACGCCTGTGTGGCTCAATCTGTTAAGCATCCAACTTCTCACAGTCTGTGAGTTCCATCCCCATGTTGGGTTCTGTGCTGACAGCTCAGAGCCTGGATCCTCTTTCAGATTCTGTGTCTCCCTCTCTCTGCCCCTCCTCCACTCACTCACTCTGTCTCTGTCTCTGTATCTCTCTGTCTCTTTCTCTCTCTCTCAAAAATGAGTGAACATTAAAAAAAAAATTTTAATGCATAACCCGAAAATGAGGTCAATTTTGCATTATAAGAACACATCAAGATCTATGTAAAAGGAGTGTCTATTTGGTGTATTTATTGAGAAAGCACTTTCATATTAACAAATAGCATGTGTATGAATTTTAGATTTTATAGGAGGAAATGGATAATGAACTTAGTTTGTAGTACTGATCAATAAAACTTTAACATTTTAATTCCAGTATAGTTAACATAAAGTGTTATATTAGTTTCCTATGTGCAATATAGTGATTCAGCAATTCTCTACATAACTCAGTGCTCATCATGGTAAGTGTACTCTTTAATCCCCATCACCTGTTTCACCCAACATAGAAATTTAATAATTTTAAATAACATTATTCTTTAAAAACATAATTTAGCAATCTGAGAGGACATTTTAATAATATTAAAATCACCCAGAAATTAATATGTAAATTTTAAACCACAATGAATTACAGATAATAATCACGTATCCACAGCAAAAATTGACAAATGTAGAATATTGCAGATGGGTGCACCTGAGTGACTCAGTTGGTTGAGTGTCTGACTCTTGATTTCTGCTCGAGTGATGGTCTTGTGATTTGTGAGATTGAGCCCCGTGTCAGGCTCTGCATTGGTAGCAGAAAGCCTGCTTAGGATTCTCTCTTTCCCTCTCTTTGCCCCTCACCCACTCATGTGCACACATGTTCTGTCTCTCTGTCTCTCTAAAAACATTTTTTAAAGGTTTTTTTTTTTTTTTTTTTTTTTTTTTTTTTTTTTTTTTTTTTTTT